TCAGCCCCTCTCCTGCTCTGTTAGACAAGCATACCATACTGTTAGACACTACCAGTGCTTTACAGACCCTGCAAGGTTTGTGACAGCATTTCAAAGCAGCGGTAAGTCTCCTGTGCAGTGGTGAGATATGATCCAAATAGGGTAAAATGCTACTGGACCATAAATATCATTGATTACCTTATGAATCCAGATGAGAAAGCTACATATTTATTTCTAGGATGAATATCCACCAGGAAATCTTACACACATTGACCTTATAAGTTTTCATTCCTAATGCTGTGCAGTTCTCTTCCTGATAGTCTGAGAGAATTTGTCTGTAATATTGTTTGCCTGAGCAACAGTACAGTCCCTCTGTCCTCGGGTCGGGTCTTGGCCTGAGGCGACTCCTGCTGCTGTTGATGACTATCCATTTGCTTTGCCCTCCCGCTGTATGGAAGGGAGGTCAGAGAGGGAGCATCGGCCCCATCTGCCAAACTGATATTTACTATCCCTTCACATTTATGATGGGGGGGAGTGACAAGAACCCAATTCCCCTAGCGATGTTTTAGCTCTTTGGCAGATTCACACATGCACACACACATGCATTTGTAGGGAGTGAACAAGATAGACAGATAGAAGAAATCAAATGGATGAAGCAAAAAAAAAAAAAAAAAGTGCTGTTTATATGAACCACAGTTAAACTCAGATTTAAGTAGATGAGGGCTGGATGCAAAACAGGCAGTGTAACAGATAATAAGTGTGTAGCTGGAAGCAAGTAACCTGCACGGTCTGCTGCTGCCTAATTTCCCATTCACAGCTTCATTGGAGTTTTTCATTATTTAGCAAAGGCAATGAGACTTTGAAAAGAAGTTTGGGGGGGGGCTGCTGTGTCGAAACCAGACACAGCAGGTTGTCGTGCTCGGTTTAAGTTGGGAGTGCTATTGTCTTGTTGACACAGAAACAAACAGTTCAATCACTCCACCCAGTATCTGTTCTGACACGGTGTAAGATCTCACTGGGAGAAGGTCACTTTTTTGTGGTGAGCTGCAGGAGGTCGCGCATCACTCATGCGAATTATCTCTTGAGAGGGCAGGAACTCGGCTGCACACCTGCTTCTCTTTTCAAATTAAAGTCTGAGTATTATATTTATTGAATGTGAGTCTCCTGGATGACATTTTGCAGATTTGGAGTTCAATATGTGCCAGACGGACGTTCTGTTTGCACTACTCAGTGTGTGAGAGAAAATAAATTGAGCCTTTTGCGTTTCAAAAATGCCACAATGGTGGGCTCAGTGTAATTAGAGCCAAGTTGTCCTGACATTTAGCTGTGTTTAGAATGCAATCACACAAGTTGTTTGGCCTGATTGCGGTCAGTTT